TATTCAAAACTCAATCAAACATTACGTAGTATTAATCGTCAAGAATTAAAACCATGGTTTCGTTATTTAAAATTATTTTTAACAGCTCTTTTTAAATTACCATCTATTGAAGGTGTTGTTTGGCGTGGTGTTCGTGGTGATTTATCATCTCAATATTTAACAACAAATGAACAAGCATGGTGGGCATTAAGTTCATGTACATTATCATTAAAAATTCTTGAATCTCCATTATATTTGGGTAAAATAGGAACACGAACACTTTTTTCAATTGAAACTCAAACTGGTCGTCGAATTCGTTCACATTCATATTTTAAACATGAAGAAGAAATTCTTTTATTACCTGGAACTTTTTTTCAAATTATTTCACATTTATCACCGGCTGAAAATTTACATATTATTCATTTAAAAGAACAACAATCACCATATCCATTATTGCAATTACCATTTCAAGGAGCACAAATACGAGGAAAATTTCGTGAAAAACTTAAAAATGAAATATCACAACAACGTATACGTCGTTTGATAACATTTGCTGATTTAAATGAGAAAATTTCAGCTACAAATAATCTTGGTGATATAACAAATGGTTATTCAAATCTTCGTTGGCATAATGTATCATATATGCATATGGATCATGCACTTCAACATATTAAATGTAAATCTACAGGTTATCAATATATATTTCAAAATGAAACACGACAACATCGTTCACCTTATATTGCATTAAATTCATGTGGAAAATCGATGTTAATTAGTTCATTATCAGATGATGATTTAACATTTACTGTACATACAATTGAAGTGCAATCAGCATCAGAAGATGATTTAGAAATTTTCATTTTTGGATTTAAATCAAATGTAAAATTGTTTAAGAAAAAAGTTAAATTATTTATAAAAAAATCAACATTAATTCAACTAGATTGGAATAATATTGATTTAATTACATTTGAATCAGCAAATGATGAAGATGAACATAAAAGATTTCATTTTATTCTTATTTCTATTGAAATTACTTAAATTATTACGTTTTTTTTATTATAAATAACGAACTATGAAATAGTTATATTTTCAATTTCATTTCTTCTAGAATATTCTTGAAATTTTAAATCAAAATAATGAGAACAATATGAATCAAACGTTCATTTTATATGTTAATTGATAACAAATGTCAAAAAGAAAATTTCTTCGAAAAAGTATCATTTTAAGAATAGTCATAGAAATAAAAAATATTATTTGATTATCTTGTATACTGTTGATGCAGAGTAGAGATCAGAGATGGACAAAGTCGCACCGCGCTTCCCCGCGCCGTTGCTCACGCCTACGCTACACTAGTCTGAGCTTCGATGAGCGCACGCTTAGAGCATCCCGGTATTCGGTGGAGTTTGAGAAACTGATTTGTAGAGCAAAGAGAAAGAGAGATGTGCGTAGCGCCTAGGCGCGAGCAGTGGCGCGGGGAACCACGGGGAGGCGCGGTGCGATTTTGTCCATCTCTGGTAGAGATGATCATCGCGATTGAAAATCTATCTCGGCCCTAGAAAAAATTGATGTTAAAGCGACGTGATAAAAATCTAAACCTACTGCGCGTCTCTATCACAATAGTTTGAACTATATAGAAAGTTGCTTTGATCAATTTAATCATGATTTTGACTGTTAGACTTGTAGACATTCAGATCGGATGCAAATCCATGCAACTTTTAAAACTCATTAGAAAAAAGAGGCTGACGCTACCGTATCACTGACACATAATCAATTCAAATGTTGTAGATTGACTTTACTCGAACAATATTGTTCTTTAGCTTCAATTCAAGCATCAAGTCAAAGAAGAGATTCAATTGATTTAAGTAGAATAGGAATAAATTGATTGAATTTAGAATCAACTAAAGATTTCGTATTTAACTCTGTCTTATTAATTATTACAATAGAACGAATAAGAAAAATCTTTCTAAATTGATATTTGTCAAATTACCTTCCAAGATATTGCATAAGTCTTGAGGTACGATAAAATTAGTTTATATGTAAACAGAAAATAACTCATAACTGAATGTTTCTATATGAGTCTTGAATATTCGTGCCACTCTTTCAAATGACATATTATTTGATGATATCTTGTCGTGTAATAATAAAAATATAAACATGAGAATGTGAGAATACGTCTTTCTCAAATAATCAGCGTTATTTTTGAATAAAGTTCATGACAAATCAACATAAAAAATAACATTTATTTATTAATCGAGTTTTATCTCAAGAAGATGACGTTTGCATTTGCTAAAATATGGTTCACTGAAAGTGTATGAGAAATATTAAAAATAAAAAAGTAGGGGAGAAGAATAATTTTCAAGCTTCAAACGACTCACAATTAAATTTAACAAATAATTAAAAATATAACTTGTAATTATTGTCAAATACTGATTAAAAAAAAACGTGATAGTTAAATAAGATTTTTGTGTTATCAGACCAATATAAGAATACATTTCGTTTTTAATAAAATCTCATGTTGATCGATTGCGAAAAATTTATCCTCACAGTTTTCATATTTATATATTTATTATTAACAGATATAATCATTTAAAAGAGTAACACAAGTATCAAAGATCGTTAAAAACATTTGCCTAGAATTATTCTGTCTGTATATAAACTAATTTTGTCGCACCTCAAAACCTTGGAAACATCCTATATAGATATATATATATATATACAATCAAAATATATAAAAAAAAAAGAGTTCAAATGAATATTTAATATTTATCTATCAATAATTGCATGTTCAGTAACAGAAAGAGATGAAAAATAATCTATTGACTATAATTCAGTATGTAAATATAGTTCAATATATTTAATGGATTTTTGAAAGCATATTTTCACGTTATAGCTAAGATAATAATGATCATATGAGTGATGATATATTCATCAATGAATGACTAGTCAAGGGACTACTAATAGATAATGTAAAACTTTTAGCATCTCTTCTTGAACGAATATTGACTAATCATTTCAATTAGAGTTATATTCAGGCATTATTTTCTATAGATCTTTAATTTATGAGTAGCTCAATATGACATTCGTTACGAAAAAAAAAAACAAATGTTTGATTATCAATAGCCATTGAAATGAGAACCTGTAAAGAAATCTTGAAAAAGAAGGAAAATAATCGCATAGAAAGACATTTTTTATTGATTATATTGAAAAACGATTTTATCTTACAATATGATTAAGTATTTTCTATAGTTAAAAAAAAAGTTTTTTTTTTTTTTCATATTGATTTCATTGTATAATTGATTAATGATGAAATATAAGACTATTATATGTTAATTCTATACTAGGAAGTTGATTAAATTGATTTCTTTAACTTTTCTATTCGTAAATTACCCTTGTTAGTATACATAAAAAAAAAATAAAGAAAAGGTTTTTTTTTGAAATATTTTAAAGTAATAGACTTATTGTACACTTGATTTATCCTTTTATTCCTTAAGATTTCTTCAAATTTTTCTTAAAATCTTCATTAGTTTTCAACATGAAGTTCATCTTCTCTATTCTCAAGAACATTATTGCTTTACATGAGACAATATTTTCTTAATCCGCTAATTATATTTATTTTTTTGTATGTGCTAGTAAATACAGAATAAGAGTACATGAAAGTTGATACTTGTTAATTAAATGTTAAATTTATTATGCAAATATATTCTTGTTTTTTTTTAAACTCATTGCGTCTTCAAGTGTATTCAATCCTTAATGAAGTATCAAGTAAATGAAGAAATATTTATCTCATTTGTTATTTTCATCAAAAACAAAGCAGATAATAGTTGATTTGCTTTGTAAATATATAAATCATTCAATTTCAAAAATCTTATTATTGTTCATTCAATAGAATTATAGATGAACGCAGATATTTTATCAATAAGATAGAAAAAAAAAATAATATTTTTTGAGTTCAGTTTATCAAATGATACATTTAATATTACTTCAGATGTGTAAAAAAACAAGAGATCAACTAAAATGAATGAAAACAAGACAGAATCATATATGCATTCATGAAAATACTAAGAACTGTGACGAATGTCAAAGTTCATTCACTAGAGATATTACAAAAAAGAAAAGATGTTTTAATACAATATCTAAATCACTTAATCAATTTATGCAAATAATAGTCAGTCTTTATCATATTCAGACAACAAATATCAGTTCTGCTATTCAACTTTAATTCGTTTGATCAAAGATCATTAATTCAGTTATTTGATGACACAAGAATTTGCATGTAGATCGTTATATTTAACCTTGAATAAGCATAAGTATGCTTAATTATGACAAACTATTTTTTTTTTGTCATTCTTTTAGTATCAATCCGAGCGTTAATCATTAGGGACCCATTGTTTTTTTACACCTTTTCTTACATCGGACATTATTCAATATGATTTTTCTTTTTAGTAACAATTATTAGAGGCAATTGCAATATTCAATGATAGAAATTATTGTATGAAAAATGTATTTTAGATTGATTAATAGTATAGAATATATTTGAGATCAAATTGTTTCATTGTAGACAAGTAAAAGACTGAGTACATGGCTTTAGCATTATCAACAACAATTGCCTCTAGCTAAGCAGATCGTAGAAAGCAGATAATTAGGATCCCATTAGTGACAAAATGTGAAAATAATGTTTTTGTTTTACAAAAGGCCATCAACAATTTATATTCTAAACTTATTAAATAGAGTATAAAGTTCAATTTAATGCATAAAGTTTTTCTTCTTCAACTCATTTCATACAAACTACAAAGAATATCTTTCATAATTATTTGAATAAAACTTATCTATCAAATAAATCATTAATACATAAAGACAAAAGATCAGGTTTTTTTTTTTTTTGTTCGATGAAAACATTGCTTATTACTAGAAAAAGAAACAATGAATATTTCATTGAGCAATAAATTTTATTTAGAAAGAGAAAAAAAAAAATTTTTTTTAATAAAAAATAAACAAAAAAAAAAAAAAGAAACTTCTCTTATTTACACAATATGCAATGGAAATGTTACTGTACTTATTTGTTGATCATTTTCATCAGATAATAAAGGTTCCATATCACCTTTTTTTATTTTTCTAATTAATAATTGTTTCCATGCTAAATAACGTTTTTCTTGTGCAATATCTTCATCTGTATCTCCAAAATAAAAATTTTCCATTTCATGTCGACGTTGTTTATATAAACTAAATGTAAGTAAAATAATTGTTAATATTAAATAAGAAATTATAATAAAAATAATATATGTTATTGGACTTGATAAAGATAATATTGATGATAAATTTGTTTTATTTAATGTATGATTTAAATTCAATAGAATATCATCATAATATGAACGATTTAATGATATTGATGATGAATCAAAATCATCTTCTTCATATGATAATGGAAAACTATCAACATTATAATAAATATCATCATTTCGATGAATTATTGTTGAGTTTAACATCTCTAAAATTATCGATTTTATTTTTATTGACTTTAGAGAACAAAAGGAAAAAAAAAAAGAAACATAATTAGTGTAAAGAAGTATATTTACTTAATTAACGAAATATTTGTTTATTATTTTATCAGGAAGTTTAATAAATAAATATTTGATAGTTTTGAATGTTTTACCAATATAGAAAATACCAATGATTATTCTCTAATCTATTAAATAAAATATTTCAGGATCTATTTTTATGTGTTAAGTGGCCATTAAGTTGATAGAATGTAAATGAATTGTTAAGAGAGAAGAATATAACAATTATAGTGTCTATCCGCCTTAATAATATGTTCTTTTATTATTAGAACCTAACTATAGACAGTTGAAAATCAGTATAAAAAAAAAACAATTTTCGATTTAAAGAAATTTTATCGATTTTATTTCTTCGTATTATATTTGTGATTTAAATAATATAAAAGATAATGTTGAATGATTATTATATGTTATTTAAAGATGGCTTCAATGACATTCATTCACTAGTTTATTCTACTACTTACTCATTTGTCATTCAGTTACTTATGGGGAGGAAAAAATTGTTTCTTCTTTTTGTATGTTAGCAGAACCGAAAGAAAGAAGGGGAGTGTTAAATCCACATACTGATTGGAATGACGACGACTGCAAGGAAATTCTCTCTCTCTCATTCTTGCTTAATATTCACGACTTTAGTTTTCTTGTTCTTTGCTCTGTATTTCTCTTTAGGCATTGACTATCGACGATCATCATCGAGTACCATCTGTTGTGACTCGGATGGTCTATCTCGTGTTTCGGTCTACGTAGAAATCGTGTAACGAGAAAAAAAGAAAAAGAAAAATCGAATTTTCATGCACAAGCAAAAGATTATTACCGCTATTTGCTGCATCGACAATCATATTAGAAAAACAGGCAGTCAACATGCATTTTATTGTGTCAAGCAGAAGGAAAATTTTCTATTCGATTGACAATTGAGTTTAAAGAAAAAAAAAAAGAAGACGTGTAACATTTCTCTTTGACCAATAATCAAATACAAAAATTTATTTTCATAGATGAATGAACAAAATACAAGGAATACATACAACAAAATAGTGTCACGAAGGCATTATATATCAAAATTAATTTTTTTGTATTCAATAATAAGATGTTTGTGACAACGATAGAAATGAATAAAGTTTTTTTTTTTTTATCATTTGTATAACAAAGAAAATAAAAACTGATATTGTTAGATGATAAATATTCGTCAACGATAACTCATAGTCAAAAAATTTAATTTAAAAAATAAAACAATAAATAATCATCATTATATTCTACTTTATCTCTATATATAATCAAAAGAAAAGTCTTTATTATGATACTATTTTTCATTTATCATTGTTCATTTTTTTAAATAATATGAAATTCGATTACTTATGATCCTAATACGAACATGAGATTGTAAAAATAAAATTTTTTATATTTATTCGAGTAATGTTCAATAAGTAAAAGTATAATACTAATAATTATTCAAATATAAATGATTGATGATGCCTAACGATTAAAGAACTGATTGACTGTCATTATAGTTAAAGTTAAAATTTTTATCTTTCTTCTTTTTTTTTAAATAAAATTCAAACTGATAATTGCATGGATTACAATACTAATAGATCTATTTACCTATTAGTGATCAACATGGTATCATATTTGAATAATCGATTACTATTGTTACTTTAATATTTAGTAGTACTTAGAATTATAGACTTTTGAAGACATTTATGTCGATAGTATTGAGACGAGATTACCATAAATCAGTTAAATATGAATCAAATAAATGTTAAATCACATCATTTGACTTATATGTTTCGATTATATACTATTTAATTCTGTAAGAAACTTTGATTAATGAATAGAAAATGAATAATTTATATGAAAATTTTTTGTAAAACTCGTATAATTCAAAATAGAAGTTTTTTCTCTTATTGCAATTTCCATGAAGCACTTCTTTAAAAATTTCTTACTTGAAAATTTCATCGATCTAAGATACGACATTGCTCGTAATTAAAGACTTTCTACTTTCTTTCTATCTCATTTTTTTTTTGTCAAGTAACTTGTAACTACAATCAAGTATTGCATACTTCTTCTGTATTTATAAATATCTTCTCTTTCCTCCAAGTTTTCAACTTCATAATTCAAAAAAAAATTAGATTCCAATGTTGTTCATATTAAACGATGGCTAAAACAAGATGCAAATCTATCAATATTCGTCTCTAGATGATGTCAAACTGATGAATTATATTGTGAAAAAAATGGATAGCAGCCTATTCAAAGTAATATGACCAACAAATAACATCTTAACAGTTTAAAATTACAGAAAATTCTAAGTTTATTATTCGAACTTAATCAATTGTCACTCAATAACAACAAAGTTGTCCAGCGTCAACTATGCTAATAATGATACTTGCTCATTTTATTTAAGAATATTAGTTTTTTCGATCAGACAGCACATCATAGAGTTTGTTATTAATCACGTGATAATTCTGATAAACAATTTAAAAAATAATTTCTTAGTGCTTCAAAATGAAAAGGACAAAATTATCATTTTATTTTCACGATTTTAGAAGAAATATTAAATAATGTGAATGATTCGTACTATGCTTCGACGAATAGAAGAATCAACAGAATACTAAATAATTAAATTTGTTATTAAAATACTGAACTATTGAACATCAAGTTCTCGTTATGTATTACTATAAATCTGTACTTCTTGGATATGCACCGTCTCATACTAATCGAAATAAAAATATTATTATTCGTATTGATCGGTTAATACCTGATCAATTATCATTAAATGAAATCGATCTTTTAGTGATGAATGGGTAATGTATTCGATTGGAACAATTGAGGATTTATGGATCATCAAAGGAAAATATTACGATTATGAAACAAAAGAACATACTTCATATCATGACATTTATTATTGATTAGAATAATGCATTTTCGATTGCTCGAAACAGTAGACATCATAACGTACATTTCTTCACAGAAATGTCAATAAATAGCCTTCATATTACCTGTAATGCTATTGTATTATTAGATGATAGATCGATCTATGAGATAAAAAGGTTATAACAATGCCTTGGTCTATACATTGAAAGATTAAATTCTTTGCTTCCGATGCCTACTACTTAGTATTAATATGCTTTGTGCAATACAAAAAAAATCAGTTGCAGCTTCGTAGCAACAAGAAAAACAATTATCTGAACAGAAACAGTAGCTTATGTCAAAGTATGAAAAAATTCAATTGCAACAATAGATACTTCAGTTACTGTTTGAAAAAGAGAGTCAATGTGTAAAAAAAATGCCTGTCAAATAAAAGGTAGCTTTATTGATGTACAAGTCGCATATGTATTGAGCTAAATTCGAACAAAATAAAATAAAATCTAACGACAAAAATTATGAAAAATGTTTATTGTTTTGTTAAAAAACACATTGGATAATCTTGCAAACTACATATTCATTTCTTCATTGAAGTGTATTGCTGATATCTAAGATTTGCACATTAGACGCACCAAATGTTCCTATTATTCAGCTTTTCTTTTGGTACATCTACTACTATGAACATTGATTCCTAGTTTAGACTTTTGTGAATGAAAGTTATAGTTCTCTGCTGTAAGACGACATCAGAGACAGATGTCACTTTTACTAAATAAATTCGTTTTAATAAATAAAACTTATTTATAAATAATAAAATAATTTTAAAATATTCATTTTTCTTCTAGAATAATATAATTTAAAGACATAAATGAAATAAAAACTAGAAGAGGTTTTATACAAGTTCGAATGGTAATTGGTTACTACTATTCTTGTGTTGCAATAAGATGATGATTATCTATTATTTGATTCGTTTGTTAGTAAAACAATATCTCATTCTTAATTATATTAGAAAATCTTAAATTGTCGACTAATAATAAATTTTGAAATAAATAATGATGAAAATCATCAAGAACAACATGAAGATTTATTATTTTATTTTTGTAAATGACAATAATAAACAAAAATGAAATAAAAATAACCAATTCAAATGTTTCTTTTTCAATGTAAACAATTATTAAATCAACCAAAACTTTAATCTTATACACATATACATACACACGCAACTTATCTTTAATTTTATGAATAATTATTTAAAAACAAATTTATTTATACGATTTTAATTTCAGATCTCTTGTGAATTTGATTGATTATAATAATCATCATCATAATGCAAGGAACAGACGGTGTCCCAACAACAGATCAAATTGAATTATATATTCCACGAAAATGTGCTGCAAGTAATAAAATCATTGCAGCTAAAGATCATGCTGCTATTCAATTGGATATTGCTGAAGTTGATGAACAAACAGGTCGAATGACTGGTAAAAATCGTACATATGCACTTTGTGGTTCAATTCGTATGATGGGTGAAGCTGATGATTCAATTGTACGATTGGCTACAAGAGATGGATTTGTTGGAAAAGGATATTATCTTAAAGATACCAAATAAAGTGAACAATGAATATTTTCAAGATTCGCTTTATTTTTTTTTTGTACTCTCTCATGTTTTTTGTTTTTCTATTGTTTTAGAAAGGATAAAAAGAGCGAGAGAGAAAGAAAGAAAAATTAATAAAATAAAATAAGAAGATAAAAACAGATTTTTAGTTAAATAAAGCTTTTTTTTTTAATATAATCAATCAAAGATAATCAAGTATGCTGTGTACATAGAAAAAATCTATATTCGATTCTTGTGTTGCAAACTTTTATATTACAATGTTAGAAAAGTCGGTGAACATACAGATCAATCATTCTAATATTGATATTTAGTTTTAGAAGATGAATGATGTCGATGTAAAACTTTAGAATTAATATTATTTATTAATCAAATAAAATAGTATAAAACTTGAAAGTTATCTTTTTTTGAAATATCATGGTAAATGTGTATATACTGATTTTGAGATTTTATTTAAAGATTCATATCAATAATAGCTTATGAATATATTATTTAGCTCTTCAGTTTTTATACTTTACGATAGTTCTTGCTTCGCTATCTTCAAACTTAATTAAAAAAATACTGTTAAACCTTATATGGAATGGACAATAGTATGCATATATATATATAATGATACAATGATTTGTAATTATATCTTGAGATAAATAAATAATTTAGATGAACTTGAGGTTTACTATATACATGATAACACGAAAAATATATTCAAATGGACGAAGAATAGTAGAACGAATTCAACATTGAATACTTGTTACAAGTAGAAACATTTCATTATCATTATTCAAATATTATTCTCAGATATTTAATATGATCATAAATTTTGTTTTATCTGATATGATTGAAATGAAATAGTAAAATCTTGATTATTGGAATTGTAACTAACAAGGAATGTCTTCTTACTGTTCAATAGCTTCTGAGTCGAGACTATGTATATAATGTTGACTCAAATGAGCTTTGAGAACATTTCAATTCATTAGCTTATTTGTGACAAGATTATGCACTGTTACAATATTTTGTAAATCAATACTGTGATCTTCATGGGAACCGCTAGAAAAAAACTGATTTTTGAATTTCAATTTAAAACGTTGCACGGAAATAGCCTGTAAGAAAAATAGGTTTTTTTTTGTGAATACTTCAAACCTTGTTAAATCCTTAGATAGATCTATGGTCATAGCGTGTTGTTTACATCACTCTTATAAATCGGCAGATTTGATGTTCGTATTTCAGGATAGAAGCAAATCAAAAGACTTGAAATTTTCACAATAAACAACTCTCTCTAAGAGCTGCCTGTATGCAAATTTTCAAATCGAAATTCTAAAAAAAACAGTTTTCCTCGTCTACGACATTCATTGGAAAAATACCGTAAAAGTGCAGTATCTCTGCAGCAATAAGCTATAAGTACGAGCTTTTTAGGATATTCATAGCTTCTTTGAGTCTATATAAGTCACATTGTCTCGATCGAAAAGTGATTTATCAGTTGGAGGACTTTCCCTATAAGATAAGTAACAGTAATACTTTTAACATGGACAAGTTTTTAATTGATTCTCTGTTAAGTGATATTATGGTGTAAATAAGATGCTAGAATTAATATTTGATCTTTTTTAATGAAGTTTTTAAAAGATACTTTATCTTCAATAAACTATTGACATTTGTTATTACTTAATTCCATTATTTTACTCTTTTTTCTTTTTGATTTTTTAATGTAATTCGAAATAGAAAAATACTATTATTTGACTTTCAAAGACATTATCCTATGAATACTTTTATGAAAAATACAAAAAAATTGTAATAGTACTACTAATTCACTATGTCATTGTTACAGAATTGTAATGTGATATAGTAATTTCTTTTCTCTATATTCTATAATCATTGAAATATAATGCATAATAATACAGAAAAAGTTGTCCAGTTGCTTTCAGTAATGTATTCATTTATTTTAGCAACAGTGAAAAATTTTGAAACCGATCAAACAACGTCAAAATATATAAAAATTGATGATAATGAAATAGTGCAATGATCTCGGTACAGATATTGAATCGCTCGTTGGAATTCATTAATATATGATACTGTTTAAGTTTGTGGAAGAATTATAATTTCGAATTAAGTTCATAGATAAGAAAGATATGCAATAATCTAATTTGATTATAGATGAAAATGAAAATTTTCCATAAGAAACTCTTATGTATTGTACACGAAATGATATCCTACTTGATACAGCGAATTAATATTCAGGCAAAAATTATTTTTCTATAACTTGCAATGTCAAAGACAAAGATATTAAACATAAATCTACAGCTATCAACAAAACGTTTGAGGATAGGTTTTATAAATAAACGATTAAAATCTTTTTGAGTACTTGCAAAAAATCAGCGTACATCGTCTATCTGTTAATTGGTCCTATGATTAGTAATCATCATCGAATAAGTTCGCAAAGTTTACTTTACAAACTTTTAATTTATCTCTCATCATTCAGTTACTCAAGTAATCGAACTAAGAAAAAGTATTTGCAAAATAAGTCACGTGATGCATACTAATTTAGTCAATAAAAAACAATCTTAAAGCATTCTTTTTCAATTTTAAGATTCTGATAGAAGCAAAGAAATTTCAGTGGAGTGAACTTGGTGTCGTAGAAAAAAATACTAAAGTTTATTCACCATTTATGTGTTTGTGAATTTGACAATATTTTTTGATAGCAATTGTGATTCAGAAGCTTTAGAATCGTAAGTCAATATAGAGA